GTTTGCATGCTGCAGCTAAAGATCCCACATGCCCTAACTAAAGATCAAAGATTCTGAGTGCTGCAACGGAGACCCTGCACAGCTATGTAAAGATTTTCAGAAGAAAGAAACAGACGCACAAAAACGAGCCGACAGACCACGTGAGAAAGAGCACGCGCAGAAGCCGTGAGGTTCACGTGCCATCCGAGGCCCGGCCGGGCACATGCTCTCTGGGGCTTAGATGACAACAGGACAGCTGGGGAGGGTGGGGAGTCGGGGAGCCCCCAGGTGCGACCATCACTAAGCCCAGTTGGGAAGGGAGAAACTTAGAGAACTAAGGCCTGAGGCCCTTTCCCTGAGCAAATGAGGGGTGTAGGAACATCAAATGTTCCCGCCATGGCACTTGTGTCCCAGATTCTCTAACAGACCCACCCGCCTTCCTGAGTCACACAGCCTCATCCTGTTGACTCCTCTTCTCGGCGCCCAGCAGCTACACGTGTATACGTAACATGACGTCCAATTGCCTCCGTTCTGCCTAATATGGTCCACCTTACCATCTCCCCAGCCCATGCCAAGATTTTTAAAAAATTCAAAGCCAACGCCCTCCCCGTATACTCCAGCTATACTGGTGAGTAGAGAATTTTGCCCAACAAACACTCCGCCCCCTCATGTGTGTGCTGCCAGTCAGCGCCTCTGTCTGAAAGGCCCTGAATGCCCCCCAGAGCCACCTACCAAAGTCCCTCCCATCCTTTTAGGACCATCAGAGACACTGTCTCCCAGGTCATATGCCACCAGCCTCTTTCTTCCCCTTCACGACTCCTCTGTGGCCCTTGACACATCCCGCTGGTACTGGAGCCATCTATGAATGAGGCACACTCTCTCCCACACCACAGAATGGGGTCCCAGCAGGGAGCTGAGACTTTCGGCCCTGTGTTCTCCTGACATTCAGCTCAAGGCTATGGCAGGTAACTCCTCAGGAAGTGTCCACAGCCCAGGACCAGGCCAGGAGCTTCTTCAGGCATCCTCCACTAGGCAGTCAAGGATTCCAGGATGGCTATCCTGCCTCCACCCTGGGTCCCCTTTTGCTCTGTTCTCCTGTCCCCCTCTGGAGCAGACCTTGCCTTGGGGCTTGGGCTCCCGTTCCTATTTCTTGTCCCCTCTTGGCCTAGTATCCTCGATTGAGACCATTAATATTTTATAGATGAACGTAAAGGCTTTCTTGTCCACCTGTAGGTACAGAATGAGCTGATGAATTCAGGCTTGTACCTGGTGCTGCTGCTTCATCTCTATGAACAGAGGTTTGCAGAACTCATGAGACTCAACCACAACCGGGTCACTAGAGACAGGGTGAGTGGGGCCCTGCCTGGACCATCAGCAGCAGCGTCACTGACCTTGTGTGTGCTTTAGTAGATGTGTATCTGTGTTCAGCAGGTGGGATGAGGCACTGTCATCGTCGGCACCAAGACTAATGGCTGCCAGGTGTAGGCACAGTGGCCCTCTGGCTGAAAAGTGACCATCAAGTGTGAGTGTTAGTTGCTCAGTCATGTCTGACTGTTTGCAACCCCAGGGACTGTAACCCACCAGGCTCCTCTGTCCATGGGATTCTCCAGGCAAAAATACCAGCATGAATAGCCATTCCATCCTCCAGGGGATCTTTCTGACCCAGGGATCAAACCTGGGTCCCTTGCATTGCAGGCAGATTCTTTACCATCTGAGCCACCAGGTCACGTAATTGTTTCCTATTAAATATGAGTGGTAATTAAATGGTCATTAATGGTTATATAAGCAAGTAGGTCTCTACGGATATTTGGCCCCCAAAATAGAGGCCAGCAAGGCTGCGGGGACTGGGTGTGCATTACGCGTGGATGTCCACTGCCCAAGCAAGGAGGGTCCATGAGAAACAGGAACCTTCCCTGCCCCCAGCCAAGGGGGCTGTTTATTTTGCTTTGGCTCCCAGGGTATGTTATCCCAGCATCTCTATGTGTGTATATGCCAAGAAACAAAGGTGCTGATGGGGTCCCATCTGTCATTAGAGAAGTGACAAGAGTTTTTACCAGGAATGATCATCTGTGGCTGCCCGTCCTTTAATATAAGAACCAGGGCCCTCTAGGAGACTGCGTGGTGTGGGGCGAGAAGCCTAGATCCACTACTCAGATCACAATGCAGGAGAACAGGGCAACCTCTGAAATGTACAAATACCCTTGGCCATTATCAAGTCAGAACCCTGAGCCCCAAGGGACTGCCCTCCTGGTTAGATGCCCCCCGGTGGCCGGGCCAGGGAAGAGCACCGCAGGACGGGGCACCTTCCTTACCCGAAGGCCATGCCAGGCACTGATATGCTTTTAGTGTTTGGGGTTCCCAGGACACCCCCTGAGGCTTGAAATTTGACCTTCTGCTCACTGCAGAAGGTCACCGCAGGTCACCACAGATTCAGAAGGGACTAAATTCACAGGTTCACAGAGTTCACAGGTTCAGAAGGGACATCCCTGGAGGTCCAGTGGTTAAGACTCCGTGCTTCCAATGCAGGGGATACAGGTTTGATCCCTGGTCAAGGAACTAACATCCCAATACAGCTCCACATGCCAAAAAAAAAAAAAGGTCACCAAAAAAAAAAAAAAAAAAAGGTCACCTCTGGAAAGCACGCCAGTGTCGCAGCGGACAAGCCGCCAGTGGAACCGTGAGGCAGTTTTGGTGATGCTCCGTGACATGTCCCACGTACCTCTTTGTCTTCAGCATCTTGGCTCTCTGTGTCTCTCTGTCTCTACCCTTCCACCTCAAGTGGACAAGAGGCGCCTGCCGGCCCCAGTCACCGTCTGGAGTTGAAACCCCACAACTCCAAGTGCTCCCTACACAGCCCCAGTCCCTGTGCCCCTGGAGGCCGTGGCAATCCATTTGGAGCCATCCCTGTTAGAAATGGGCTTCCGTGGTGGCTCAGTGGCAGAGAATCCACCTGCCAATGCAGGAGACATGGGTTTGATCCCTGGGTTGGAAAGATCCCCTAGGAGGAGGAAATGGCAATCCACTCTAGTATTTTTGCCTGGGAAATCTCATGGACAGAGGAGTGTGGTGGGCTACAGTCCATGGGGTTGTAGAGTCAGGCATGACTGAGCATACACGCACGCCACTAGAAATGTTGGGTTCAAACCATTAGTCATAAGAATTTGAGATCTGTCTCTATATCTTTCGGGCTTCCATTCTCCCCTTAGACCCTGAGCTCTCAATTAAGACAGGCTGGGTCTTCGCCAAGATATCTCCTCAGGCATCTCACTCTCTCTCTGACCCAGGCCTGTCCTTCCTTTCACTCTTCCGTAGTTTTAATGGTGACATAAATTCCTTAGAGAAATACATTTTTTTTTAAGTATAGCAGGAAGCAGGAAATGATCCTTTGTTAACATTTCTGTAACCTTATTTTCACGATTCCACGTCTTTTTAATGAACTTTTTATTGCACATTGAACTTCAAAGCACCAAGGGTTCAGTATAGGTTACAGATGGCCACACCATCAACAAACAAAGGCAAGAGACATTAGCCTCTGGGACTGTAATGCGCACATGAGAAGGCAACAAATAGTGCAACCCATTGGATGAAAAACCCACGCCCTTAAAGCTTTGACTCTAGAGAACATTCTATTAAAACTCTCCCAGAGAAGGAGCAGGTGATGCGGGGAGCAAGCCGGGAACCAGCAGGGAAGGAAGCAGGAAGGACAAGGCAACACTTCTCTTGTCACAAGCTTACTTGTAATTTGAGATTCCCCCGAAATATTGGGTGGGCCAAAAAGTTTGTTCAAGTTTTTATACCATCTTGCAGAAAGACCCAAACAAAATTTTGGCCAGCCCAGTAGCTCTCACCCATATAAACCACCAAGCAGTAACCAGTACTAAGAACCAGTTAAGAGGTACCCGAATGGAAGTAGGAAAACGGGTGTCTGAATGTGCTCAGTTGCTCAGTCACGTCTGACTCTTTGTGACTTCATGGACTGTAGCCTGCCAGGCTCCTCTGTCCATGAGATTCTCCGGGCAAGAATACTGGAGTGGGTTTGCTGTAACAAGTGGCTTTTGTCAGATTGATTCTCTTCTGGATTTGAGTCTCAGTATTTTCTTGCAGAAGATTCTAAGGGTGACGTTTAGCAAGAGAGAGGCACTATGATGGGAAAGAATGCCTCCTTCCGTCTTCTTTACTGACCAGAACCTGAAAAGCTGTTCACAGCAGGCTCCTGGTTGTGTCTCAATAAGGCACAGTGATGAAGGCCTGTCCATGGTGGTGATCACTCACTCACACCTGCATTTATGCCCATGTCAGATGCTGAGATGGGGATCTGGGAAAGTGGCTATCAGACATGATGTCCCCTTCTCTGAGGAGTTAATAATCAAGTGGGAAGGTGAGACTCACATATAAGGAAAACCAGGAAATAATCAAAAAGTAGCCCTTGGTCAAGAGAACTAACATTCAGCGAATTCCCGGAGGCTGTGAAATAAAAAACCCAAGATCTTCCCTGACAGTGGCTTCCTGGGGTTTTCAGTGATCTTATAAACCAATAATTTGGCTCCCCAGTGAGGCTGTGAGCCTTTTTAAGGCAAAGTCAAACCTTCTACATCTGTCCTTTTTCTGAAGCTGGACACACAATGAAGCATGTTTGACTGCTGACCAAGTCCCAGGCACTATGGATGCCAGGAGCATTGAGTGGTTACAAACTTGCTAAATTACTGCCAGAAAAGGATGTGGTCTGCTAAGGGTTGCAGGAGTGGGTCAGGGGGAGGATATGGTCATTGGCAAGTTGGAACAAGGAACACTTATCTCTTTTGTACACGTGGTCCTCCAGTGCCTTGAAAATGCCTGGCACATACTAGGTACTCAGTAACCTCCTGATGCTCAAGCAATGAAAAAGTGAACAATACGTGCTTCTTGAAGAGGCAAGTATTGAGTTATGTTTTGGAGAAAGTGATAATATAAATTTATGGAGAGAAAAGGGTATTCCAGGTAAAGGAACACTTTCAAGTTCAGTTTAAGTATTCAGAGGTTTNTCTCCTGTCAACTGATCAGCTGAGGAGGTGATGCTGGAGCTGAATCTCAGGCCAGGGCTGGTGGGGAGGGAAGGGGATCCACGCAGAAGGGAATACAAAGCCTCAGGAAGGAAAAGACTTGCGTGTCTGGGAAAGTCAAGGCACTGAGTGTGGCCAGAGTCGGAAGTGAGCAGGATGTGACGGGGTCGGGTGCAGCTCTGGGAGGCTATGGCAGGCTTTCTAGCCTGGGGTTGACAGGTCAGGAGAGCTATGTTTCTGAGAGGGAACAGGAGCGGCCCTGTGGAGGGTGGGCTGAAGGGGGAAGAGCCCAGCTGGGTGGTGGCTGCACTGGGACAGGGTGAGGGGACCCACGTGGGGGGCACTGGAGATGGAGGGCCAGATTTAAGTGGGCACAGAGTGAGGTGTGGGCTGACGGGAGTAGTGACTGTTATGCTCTGCAAAGCCTAGCAGGAAACTGGCCTTTTCTCTCTTCAGCTGTTCACAATGGGAGCATCTCCAGAGAACACGGGGCCCCACCAGCCTCACCTGACCTACTTGGCTCACCCTTTAATCTCATGGGGACACAGGACTGTTCTGCAGGGTGAAGCTAAATGGACATGCCTTCCCTCCACCTTCTCCCTTTCAGCACCCATGTGGGGCACTCCAGTATTCAGGGACTGCACCCTCCGGGGTTCCCTAACCTGGGCTTCCTCCTGGCTGTGGGTTTTGTCTGTGCCACGCTCTCCATCCCCCCTCAATGAAATGACCCTGTACCCAAAACTGCTCTCCCTGCCTGCCCATGGCAGCTTCCTTACACCTCTCAAGTGCCTAATTTGCCAAACTAGATGAAATAGAAAGAATTCCTCTGTGTGTGTGCACGCTAAAAGGCAGAGCGCAAGCGGGACCCCACGCCTTCCACGATGCCCTCCTGGCACAAGTACCCACCTGTCTTCTGCCACAGGTGTGCTAGTTTCACACTTCACCTGGAGGGGCAAGGGAGGGCGTTGAAGTCACTCTGAAATCCCACTGGCCTATCCGTGTGTGAGGCTCCATGGACTTTCCCTAGGCTCTCCCCATTGACACCATTTCTACAAAATGGAAAACCCTTGCCTCAAAAGACCAAATCCACCCAAAATTATGCAAGGCCCAGGCTTGGCCAACTACTGGGAAAGCTTGCCTACTCACCAAGTTGGCGCCCCCTGGTGGCCATCATTAGATAGCCACCATCTCCGGGCACAGAATCTAGAGGCGGGATGAGGTCGTCCTAGCAGCCTGGGGAACAGCCAGCAGGCTGTTGCTAGCACCGGCGGATGTATAATTTACCAGGTAACTAGCACTGCTCCTCTAGAAGAAATTCCAACCTTCTGCCCTTCCCCCCGGCCTTCTGGGGAGAGGAACCCAGGGGCTACACTGGCCAGGCAGTTGCCCCAGTAACAGTGTCCAGCACCCCTTGTTTTGTTCCCCAGCCTGTCACAAAGGCCCTCCTCCCCCTGGGGGGTGGGGGGGAGCCCCTCTGCCCCAGAGCCCACATCCTCGCAGCCTGGCACAATGGCCTCCCACGGAGTAAACAGTGTTTCTCATTGTGGCATAAAATGCCATAAAGTCAGAACAAAGAGGGAGCCCAGAGCCTTGATGGGCCTGCTGCTTCCTGCCGGGCGGAGAATACAACCGATTGTTTAAAAGCCAGTGGTGAGGCAAGTGGCCAATTAGCACGGCTTTCACCCCCACTGCCTGGAAATGTGACTCTGGACCGTCAGGATGGGGTTCTGCTGCTCAGATCAATTGCTGAGAGGACGCAGGTCTGTTCACACTGCCAAATTTAGATGCCCAAACGGGCGAAGGTGACCTGTGCTATCGCTGACGCTGTCTTTAGGAGGCGCCTACGTCCCACAGGTGCTGAATATCAACACTGCCCTTGCACCTCCACGCCTTCTCCTCTGCCCCTTTAAGGTGATGTCAGGGATTCCTAGAATATTCCCGCGGCTAGGGGATTAGACATCTGTTCACAATTGCTTTGGAAAAAAACGGTTCATTTTTCATTGTCTTCTTTCCCATAGTTGTCAAGAAACTACCCACAACCCAGGCCGGAAGAAAATGAAAGTAGGTGTGGGGATCAGTCCTGCCATGTTGAGGGTGTTTGGCAATTTGCTGTCTTTCTGTGGCTGTGTTGAACCTAATCCTATGGAAGGAAGTAATAACCACCCCCTGCCCCCAGAGGCAAAAATAACCCGACAAAGCTGGGGAAACCCTAGCTGCAGCAGTCAGCAAGGCAGTCCAAGTGTGCTGGATGCAATGCAGAGGAGATGAGTTTGAACTCAAGCTGAAAGCGAGAGCAAAGGCAGGCAAAGGGAGGATCAGTCTTCCTTGGACATAGGATGACCCACTGCAGGTTTTTTTTCCTTTCCCTTTGTTGGGATTCTCCAGCATCCAGCACTTGGGGGAGCTTCTTGGGTTTTCTTTTAAACCCCAGAAGGGCGCTGTGTAGCCATTACCTAAAGGGACCACCATCATTCACAAGCTAGTATTGGAGTTACTGGATTTTCTCACTCTTCGGCCCAAGCCAGTGGGCCTGCTGGATTCAGAAGTTGAACAAGGAAAACAAGTATCGGGAAAGGGCCAAGGAGCCAGGCCAGCTTGTCTCCAAAGCAGGTTTATGTTCCCATAGAAAACCCGACTAAAGAAAACATGCTCAATTAAAGCAGGCAGGCTGGTGGGTCAGATGTGGGAAGAACCTTCCCATCAGCTGGGAGGATAAATGTTACAGTGAGCTAAGGAAGGGGGTGCCAGAGGTGACAGTTCCATCCCCAGAGGCTGTTCTGGAGAGAAATGTCACAACGGCCTGCCTTAAAAGGTTTAAAACAGATATTTCCACTCAGGCTTTGCCATCAGAATCACCTGGGGAACTTAGAAAAATATAGATTCCTGGGCCCCTCCCAGAGACACCGATTCAGGCACTGGGGTGGGCGCCTGGTGACCCTGATACAGTGGTCATGGTCATGCTTTGGGGACCCACACCCCGTCCCCCTGCAACCCACCCGCCTGCAGAGGCTGAACCAGCTCAAAGCTCCACAGGGTGGGGCCCAGATGAGGACTCTACAGCACCCAATCTGTTATTCAGGGCACGCAGTCCCAGAACCCGGCAGCTCATTTTCAGAATGGGGAGGGCTCTACCAGGCTCACCGTTCACAAAAGGAACTCGTAGGGTCCCAGTCCCCGGGCGCCACCGCGGGGGTCCAGCCGAGCCGGGTGAGGGCCCAGAGCCCCCTCGCGCCCTCGCAAGGTCCCGGGCCACTCGGGATGGGCGGCCGGTCCCCCGGCGCCGTCGCCCGGGCCGACCCCGAGCAGCTGCTCCCCCTCGGGCCGCCGGGAAGGGAGGGCAGGCAGCGAGCGGTGAGGGCTAGGAAAGACCTTTGTGTGCGGGCACACGCACCCCGTCTGCGCCCGGCCTTCGGCGAGAGCCCACGCTCCGTCCCAAAAGGTCCCCCGCGCGTCGGCCGGCAAGGCTCGGTGGCCCGAGGCTCCGGGCAGGCTCTCGGCGCCGCGCCCGGCCGCGCCCCTCCCCGGAGGGGCCCGCGCTCTTCCCGGTTCAGGGAAACCTGCAGCGGCGGGCGCGCCCGGGCGGGTCTGGCTGGGCAGGGGCGACCCCTAGTGCCCAGCGGGGCCCGCTGCTGCCCTGCGGCGGGGGGCGGCCCGGAGCAGGATGGAGAGCCTCCCTCCACACCCCGGCTTGGGGATGCGGAAGGGGCACCGCGGCTCCTGGTCTGGGGCGCCCGGTTTGGGTGACATCTCTAGGGGACGGGAGAAGAGCGGCCCCGGGGTGGTGCTTAAAACGGAGTCGCTGGGGGGGGAACCCTGCCTCCTGTGTTGCTCCGAGGCAGCTGGTTCCCGCCCCCGGCCCCGCACCTTGTCACTAACCACGTCTCTTCAGGAAGCTGGGACTAGCTGCAGGATCCACCCCCTCCCGGTCCTAATGTGGGGGGGCCTCAATAGTTCCCCCGCTGGAAACGGGTCTAGGCCCTCTCCGCCTGTCCGAGCCCTGCGCACACCCCAGGCGCTAGCAGGGGCAGCCCCGCGCAGAGGGACCGTCTTGGCACGCTGGTCAGACGCCTCCGGGGCCTGGCTTCCCGCCCGAGCCCTGATCAGGACAAGAGCCAGGGCAGCCCAAGGCGGATCCACACGCCTCGTGCCCTCCCCCTGGGGCCATGGCTTCTCTGGTCCTCGGCAGCCTGGCAGGACTCACCTGACTCACAGCTGTGACCCGCCGCCCTAGCCCCAGGCAGGTAAACAGGGAGGGAAAAGGCAAAACATCAGGGCCCAGCAGGTGACACAAAGATGCCAGCCTCTCTGTGGCTCATGACAACCTTCTCGCTGGGCACCCTGTCCTGGGCGCCTGGGAACCGAGGCAAGGGCTGCTGGGGAGAGGCCCTGGGTGGGTGTGCCTGGGTCTAACAGATTGTCACACAGCGCCCCCCTGACAGTTGCTTCTTGGCTGGCACAAATAATGGTCACCACAGCCAAGTCCGAGTCCAGGGAGGGGAATCATGCCTCCAGCAGCCATCAATACAGGTGTGGATAGGAATGGCCATGAAGGCCTTCAGCCAAGGGTGGGCCAGAGCACATGCCCTGCCCCCCACCGGCCCCCAAATGTACAAGTCAAGGCAAGTAGATTTGGGGGAAAGAGGAAGGGGAAAGAAGGTGGGCAGCTCTTGGAGCTGGGGCTGCGTTGTGGTGGAGGAAGAAGCTGATAGGGTCCAGATAGGGATGGAGGGAGGCAATTACTCTTGTTCCCTTGCCCTTCACCAGTCAGAACGTGCTTCCAAATAAGGAGCACGCTCACTCCAGCCAATGAGAAAAGAAATATTGAGAATAAGAATCTTTCCCAAGAATAAAGAAAGTGCCCCACCTCACCTCCTCCACTGCTTCTCACTGGCTCTGTGCGCCCCCCTCCCATCACATGACCCTCTGTGTACAGCCAATTTGACCCCTGAAAGGCTGCGGGGTCTCTGTTCCTCACACTGTTCCAGGCACTGTAGCATGTATGTGTGGTGTGTGTGTGTCTGGTCACTGGTGCTGGGGCAGGGGCTTGGGGGAGCTGGGCAGGAAGGGCAACGATGCCATCCTCCTCCACGACAGAGCCCGCAGCCTGAGCGTCCTCTTGCTTTCCAGGTTCCGAGCTGGGAGATGGGAGTGACAGCAGCATTTGTGAAGGCAGCAGCCGAGTTGTCTAGCAAGGGAGCTGGCCCGGGAGCTGGCCGGGCAGAAGCCTTCCTCCTGGCCGCCCTTCCTCCGTGCCCACAAGCCTCCCTTCCTCCTCCTCGCCACTGAAACCGAAACCCACATTCCCAGTTATCTTTTTCACCTTCTACCACTCTCTTTTTGGGGTCTGGCTCGGGCATCCACAGACAGCAACAGCGATCTGCTCAGTCCCAGGCCTGGGCTTCTTGAGCCCCCGCCGGCTGCCCAGCTGCTGCCCTTCCACCCAGAAGTCCACTAGAAGTCTAGTGGATGGGCCCCATGGCCTGGGGTCCCTCTGCAGAGGGCACCCCTTCAGGTCTCACTCCACCCTGAGTGGAATCAGTAAACTGACATTATTCACCCAGCTTTGTCTTGTGCTCATTCCAGTCCCCTTGGACAAAGGCTCCGGGCCTGAAACTCTGAGGAGTGCACCTCCCACACCCCACCCCGTCACCTCTCCTTGCCCCCCACCATCACTGCCACGAGGGATGACACAGCCTGGGCCCCAACGGGGCTGGGTCAGGCCCCTACAGGCTGGCCGGCTGCCCCTGTAGGTACCCACTTAGGAGGGTTTGGTACATTTACTCCACACTTCTCTCCTAATTGCACCTTATCACCCAAAGGCCAGATCAAGACTTAGGATGAAAAAAAAGGCAGAGAATTCAGTAAGAAAAGAAGAGGTAGATGTGTGTATATGAGAGAGAGAGACAAAGCCAAGTCAAAAAATAAAGATGGAGGGAATGAACTACTGATGCCTGCAAAAAACATTACAGCCAAGTGAAAGAAGCCAGTCACGAAAGACTACATACTGTATGATCCTATTTACATGCAATTTCTAGGAAGGCAAACTAGAAACAGCAGCGGCTGCTGGGGGTTGGGGAGGGGAGCGGAGATGGACTGCCCATGAGCTAGAGGGGACTTTGTAGGGTAATGAGAGGCTTCTGAAAGCTGGTCTGTGGTTATGTTCCTACAACTGGATGCATTTACTAAAGCTTATTGAACTGTGCGCTTAACTTAGGCGAACTCTGTGGTGTAATTGTAAACTATGCCTGAACAGACTCTCTAAACAACGGAAGAAGGGACAGAGAAAGGGTAAGTGACAGGAAAAGGTAAAAGAGGAAGAGGTGCTTCTCGAACCGCCTTTAAGACCTGCCCTTCTCAGAACAAGAGTGACCATTGAAGATGTTGCTGCCAAGGGGTCCCCAAATAAATTACAGTGTCAGCAGAGTTTAGGAAGAGCTAGATGTCAAAATCTTGTCCCACTCCTCTGATCTGTTCCACAGTTAGGCAAAGTGACTCAAGGACTGCAAACAAGATTCCACCAGGCTGCCTAGATATGAGAACCAAACAAAGGGACATCTTTAAATGTTCATAGTCCCTAGAAGAGCCACTCAGTTTGAAAATACCTCCGTGATGTACATAAAATTCCTAAAACCTCAAGTTGCCCCACTCACCAGTGAAGCTCCAAGCCGTGATCATTCTATGAGAGAATGGGTCTTTATTTTTAACTGAATTGTAAGGTCAACTGAAGATAAAGGATTTGTCCAAGAGCCAATACTGAGAAATATCTAAGGGACAATGCATATTTTAAAACAAGGTTTATAGAGAACTTTGTGGAACTTGAGGTGGCTGGGTAAATATTCTGGCAGGCCAAATGTGCAGTAAGATGTGACAGGGCTTGAGGCAGCTACCTTGAGACCATTACAGGTTTA